GCTGGGACTACAGGTACCCGCCACCATGCCCAGCTAATTTTTTTTTTTTTGTATTTTTTAGTAGAGACGGGGTTTCACTGTGTTGGCCAGGCTGGTCTTAAACTCCTGACCTTGTGATCTGCCCGCCTCAGCCTCCCAAAGTGCTGGGATTACAGGCGTGAGCCACTGCACATGGCTGCTACTCTCTTGTTCTATTAATTTTGATAACACACATCCTCTTGTGGCTTCATAAGGGTGCCTGAGAAATAAAATTGAAAGGTTTTTTTTGTTTTGTTTTGTTTTGTTTTTTAAGAGACAGGGTCTTGCTCTGTCACTCAGGCTGAAATGCTGTGGTATGATCATGGCTCACTGCAGCCTCAAACTACTCAAGCAATCCTCTCGCCTAAGCCTTCCTAGCAGCTAGGACTATAGACACACACCACCACACCTAGCCAATTTTTCTGTTTTGTGTACAGACAAGATCTTGCTATATTGCCAGGATGGTCAAGAACTCCTGGCCTCAAGTGATCCTCCTGACTAGGCCTCTCAAAATGCTGGAATTATAAGTGTAAGCCACTGTGCCTGGCTCCTAGGAGCAACGGTTTTTTTTTTGTTGTTTTTTTTTTTGGAGACAGAGTCTCACTCCATCACCCAGGCTGGAGTGCAGTGGCGGGATCTTGGCTCACTACAACCTCTGCCTCCCGGGTTCAAGCGATTCTCCTGCCTCAGCCTCCTGAGTAGCTGAAACTATAGGTATGCGCCACCATGCCCAGCTAATTTTTGTATTTTTAGTAGAGACAGGGTTTACCATGTTGGCCAAGATGGTCTTAATCACTTGACCTTGTGATCCGCCCGCCTTGGCCTCCCAAAGTGCTGGGATTACAGGCATAAGCCACCACGCCCGGCCATCCTGGCTAATTTTTTAACTTTCTATAGAGACGAGTTCTCCCTTTGTTGCTCAGTCTTGTCCAATCCATCATTTTTTTTTTTTTTTTGATATGGAGTCTCATTCTGTCACCCAGGCTGGAGTGTGCAGTGGCACGATCTCGGCTCACTGCAACTTCTGCCTCCCAGATTCAGGCAATCCTCCCACCTCAGCCTCCTGAGTAGCCAGGATTACAGCCATGCGCCACCAGGCCTGGCTAATTTTTTTTTTTGTATTTATAGTAGAGATGGGGTTTCACCATGTTGGCCAGGCTGGTCTTGAACTCCTGACCTCAAGAGATCTGCCTGCCTCAGCCTCCCAAAGTGCTGGGATTACAGCAGCTACCATGCCCAGCCTCAATCCATAATTTTAACCTATATGATCCTATGTGGTTTTTTACAGGGCCAAAACTGTCTTTCAGGCTGTGATTAAGATCTTTCCATTAATCACTCCTTTTAACAGCATATCCTAGATGATCAAGGCTACCAAGATGCATTTCTATATGCACAAACCTGTCTACACCTTTATAAGAATTTATGTTTGACAGCTCTGAGGTCACTGTGTGTCCCAACTGATGGTGTCACCAGTATGAGAACAATATTGAGGCTAAGATTATTAAAAAATTCACATATAAGACAAGTTAAGAGATACAAGATGTTCTAGTACTAAACAGAAAACAAGAGTTTCAGAATAGCCCAAATTAAATTAGAAATAATTTTCTTAAGATCACATTGATTCCAGGGAGAAAAATGGAAACAGCCCAACTTCTTGGGTACCCACTCAGAAAAAGATGACTTATACAAATTAACATTCTCAGCTTATGCATTAAGGCACATATCATGGAATGAGCAACATATGCAGTTCTTTAGTCCTGTATTCAAAAAATATTTGTAAGTTTCAGGTCTTTACAATTCACAGACTTAACACTAACACAATTCCACCTTGATGTTATTTTTATGGTTATCATGAATGCATCAAGGTGGTAGGACTAGGTTAACCAGAAATCAGTATCAGAAATCATTCAGGTGTTTCTCAGTCAATGACAACAGGAAGTAATCATCTTAACAAGCGACTCTTACCCAAGTCCACCTAGACAAAAAATCTGCAGAGATACTCAACTAGCCCTTCCTATAAGCTTCCTTTCTAAAGCCGCCAAAGTTTCTGAAGCAAGCCAACATTCTACCAGCCAAGATGGAAAGGCCAGGAAAAGGCAATAAAGGCAGTAAATACCTGCACTGATCCCCCATGGCGGTCTGCAGCCAAGTGAGACGTCAGGTATGAGGTATTGGTCTGCCGGCTGGGCTGAATTTCCCATTCTCCTCGGCGCTCTGATGATGTATTCTGCTTAGGCATTAGAAAGCATGAGAGCAAGATATGGAAGGAAAGATGAAGCAACAGCAAGCCATAACAAAATCAAGTACATTTGTGTCCCTGTAGGTTTTTCTTCTGGTTTTGAATTTTAAACTAAGAACCACTGGAAAGCACTGAGGAAAAGGAAGCTTGTCTACATTCATTTTAGCCTAATGAGTCAATGCATCAATCTATAGCACACCCTTCTTATCCACACCCAGAAAACCAATAACGACCAAAAGAGGAGGGAGGGGGAAAAACACACACACTCAAAGCTGGGATCATCTTTCAGTTTCCACAGAGGTAAAATTTCAGTAGCCACTGCAGATCAAACTCAGAATGTTAAGATAGTTGGACAGGCGGGGGCGGTGGCACACGCCTACAATCTCAGCACTTTGGGAGGCCAAGGCGGGCGGATCACGAGGTCTGGAGTTCGAGACCAGCCTGACCAACATGGTGAGACCCTGTCTCTATTGAAAATACAAAAATGAGCTGGGCATGGTGGTGCATGCCTGTAATCCCAGCTACTCGGGAGACTGAGGCAGGAGAATTGCTTAAACCCGGGAGGCGGAGGTTGCAGTGAGCTGAGATCATGCCACTGCACTCCAGCCTGCTCGACAGAACAAGACTGCATCTCGAAAAAATAATAATAATAGTAACAAAAAAAAAATAGCTACATTGTTTGCCTGGTTCTTCCAACAGTTTCTAAACTGGAATCAGAAAAAGTTTACTTATTAATATGATACTATGAATTATTTTCTTCTGGAAAGCAAAAGGAGGGTCAACCTTCAACTAAAAACTTCTTTGGATTCTGCTTTCACCTTAGTATCATTCAGGTCTCTTCCTTCTTTACCTGCTTTTTAGATCTCCTACTATTCTGATCTTGCTCATATGTGACTTTTGTTCAGAAGAATCTGTTTAGGTGCCTCTTCCCCTGTGCCAGATGGCTGAGTTGTTAACATCATAATGCTCAGCTGTAACAGTCCTAAGGCTCTACAAAAATGAAAAATGAGTAGTAGGAGAGTCAGCAATGAGGGATTAGTATATCAAATTTTAATTGCTGCTGATATAAACAGCTACAGGGGTTAGGATGTGATATTGCTGCTCTGCATGAAAACCAGAAAGGACGATAAAGCTTCCAAATGTTCACGGCTATAAAAGTTGTATTCTATAAAAAAGGAAGGGCAAGAAAGTAATGGCTTGAGGGTCTATATTCACTCCCCATCAATATCTCATTCACAAGAGTTGCTTAAGGCTCATCCGTAAGTCACCAAAAAGGCATTTCTCATAAAAATCAGAGCTTTGTACACCAGCTACGATTTACTCTTTTTTTTTTTTTTTTTTTTTTTTTTTGAGACAAGAGTCTCCCTCTGTAGCCCAGGCTGGAGTGCAGTGCGTGATCCTGGCTCACTGCAAGCTCTGCCTCCCAGGTTTACGCCATTCTCCTGCCTCAGCCTGCCGAGTAGCTGGGACTACAGGCGCGCGCCACCATGCCCGGCTAATTTTTTTGGTATGTTTAGTAGAGACGGGGTTTCACCGTGTTAGCCAGGATGGTCTCAATCTCCTGACCTCATGATTCACCCGCCACGGCCTCCCAAAGTGCTGGGATTACAGGCATGAGCCGCCACGCCCACCTACTTTTTGTATTTTAGTAGAGACGGGGTTTCACCATGTTGGTGAGGATGGTCTTGATCTCCTGACCTCATAATCCACCCGCCTAGGCCTCCCAAAGTGCTGGGATTACAGGTGTGAGCCACCACGCCCGGCCAATTTACTCCTTTTTATTAATGGAATACGAAGTCATATGGACAAGAGTACTAAAGAGGATCCTGTTCATATTTTCTCTGCTATTCCTCAGAGAATAAACATATTCTATGAGAAGGCAGCTGTATGAACTTGCATTATAATCTTATAAATGAGGGTTTGATTTTATGCTGCTAGTTATATTAGAGAGAATCAAAGCTACCCAAAATAAATTATTTCTGCCAAAAGAGGTTCAAATGTTTCATTTTCCAAAATAAGACTGGTGTACAACATAATCATAAGCTTATTTTTATTTTTTATTTTTTGGTTGAGATGGAGTTTTGCTCTTGATGCCCAGGCTGAAGTGCAGCGGCACAATCTCGGCTTGCCACAACCTCCACCTCCCAGGTTCAAGCAATTCTCCTGCCTCAGCCTCCCAAGTAGCTGGGATTATAGGCATGTGCCACCATGCCTGGCTAATTTTGTATTTTTAGTAGAGACGGGGTTCTCCATGTTAGTCAGACTGATCTCGAACTCCCGACCTCAAGTGATCCACCAACTGCCTCGGCCTCCCAAAGTGCTGGAATTATAGGCGTGAGCCACCATGCCGGCCATATTTTATAAACTTATTGACGTTGTCTATATCCTCAGAGCACTTAGTCTCATTTATTCTGACTGCTGGAGATCTAAGAATAAACCTATTCTTATAATATTAGAAGTATTATCTATAAACCTATTAGTGATAGACTTTTTCAGTTCTCTAGAACTTTTTATTTTTTTGTAATATTTAAATATAACATTTAAGCTCCTAAACTATTATATAGTACTGTCAGGTTTCTTTCTTTTTCTTGAGACGGAGTCTGGCTCTGCGCCCAGGCTGGAGTGCAGCAGCGTGGTCTCGGCTCACTGCAAGCTCTGCCTCCTGGGTTCACGCCATTCTCTTGCCTCAGCCTCCCAAGTAGCTGGGACTACAGGCGCCCACCACCACGCCCGGCTAATTTTTTGTATTTTTAGTAGAGACGGGGTTTCACCGTGTTAGCCAGGATGGTCTTGATCTCCTGACCTCGTGATCCACCCGCCTCGGCCTCCCAAAGTGCTGGGATTAGCAGGCGTGAGTCACTGCGCCCAGCTGTACTGTCAGGTTTCTAGAAACTTAAGTACTTAAAAAAATTCAGGCATTGATAAGCCATTTAGTGTTGAGTTCTATAATACATACTAAATGCAATTACATCTCATGAATGCTCTGTTTTTGCATTTGTTGTTTTTTTTTTTTTTGAGACAGAGTCTTGCTCTGTCACCCAGGCTGAAGTGCAGTGGTGCAATCTCAGCTCACTGTAAGCTCAGCCTCCCGGATTCATGCCATTCTCCTGCCTCAGCCTCCCCAGTAGCTGGGACTACAGGCGCGTGCCACCAGGTTGCTAATTTTTTTGTATTTTTTAGTAGAGACAGGGTTTCACCGTGTTAGCCAGGATGGTCTTGATCTCCTGACCTTGTGATCCGCCCGCCTCGGCCTCCCGAAGTGCTAAGATAACAGGTGTGAGCCCCTGCGCCCGGCCTGCATTTGTTTTTAAGGCAGATAAAATAGAAAATGGCTGGAAATGTGTGCTCATGTATGCTCATGGGCTTTTAAAGTTAAGAAAACCCTGGACAGCTGATCAACAATTATTTCCAATTTTACTGACTACACATAAGAACTCTGGTTTTAAGGCTATTGTCTGATTCACAGAGCTATGTGGTTCTTTATATTCATTCTAGTTCAATAAATAATTTGTTAAAAGATTTAAGATTTTTGTTTAAATGAAAATAACAAGACATTTTTCAAAGGCCTAAAAATCACATTCCATCTCTATTCTCAAAGCAATATGCTATTTATCTTTTAAAGATAAATAGAAAACTAATGTTAACACTCTAGATTGCTTCATAAATGCTTCCACTATGATGAAGGAAAACATACTATACCATACTACTGCCCGCCAATGCCTTCCGTATCTGTTGAAAGCATCAAAACTAAGTATAGATGTGAACCTAGGGGTTGCTGGTTTATTACTTTGGAAACAAGTTTTTAGTAGGATGTTAAACTCTAGGGCTACTGTTTTCTGGAATTTAAGAGCTTGGACCAGTATCTAGAGGATAACATAGTAGAAAGGGCCATTTGCGGTTTTAGAAAGCAACAGAGTGCCTAGGATATAGATGAAACCAAAGAAAGGTGACAACTATAGCAGTCTGCTAGTGTAACTCTCCAAGAAAGGTATTCTAGGCAATACTGTGTACACAGGAGTTATGATTAGGCCTCACCAGCACAGTAGCTAGTTAGATTAAGCAAAGCAGCAGAGGAGATCAGCATGTAAATCCCTCATTCTTAAAGACCACTCATACATATACATCTCATTAAATGTCACTCAAGAGGTGCATGAGTAGAAAAGTCATTCAGCAAAGTCAATTTCTCTGCATTACTTGAAAAGCAGAGGTCCACATGGAGTGTGTAAGTCCCCCAAAGCAGAAGCAGAAATCTCAAGTAGTGGTAACTCCGTGGGGGAATGCTTTAAAATTTTCAGTTGTGATTACATCACCTTTGTGGAAATGACTGGTTTACTACGCAATAGGTAAATCTTGAAACGACAAAGTAGCAATCCAGCATAGCATACATGAAAGGTAAAGGTAACAAAAATACTTGAGAAAACATAGAAGACTGTTGAAAAAGTGAAAACCCCCAGCTATGCCCTACGGCAGGGGAAACAAATCTCTCCCAGCAGTCATTTGGCAGGAATTAATGGATGGCAGTCAGTAAGAGTGACACTAACAAGGAGGGAGGAAAACACAATCTGAAGACATCTCAAGTATCATCCCCATCTATGGCTTGAAAATTATTTCAAATTCTGTGGGCATAGTGGCTCACACCTGTAATCCTAGCACTTTGGGAGGCCGAGGTGGGCGGATCACGAGGTCAGGAGATCGAGACCATTCTGGCCAATATGGTGAAACTCTGTCTCTACTAAAATACAAAAAATTAGCTGAGCGCGGTGGTGCGTGCCTATAGTCCTGGCTACTTGGGAGGCTGAGGTAGGGGAATAGCTTGAACCTGGGAGGTGGAGGTTGCAGTGAACCAAGATTGTGTCACTGCACTCCTGCCTGGCAACAGAGCAAGACTCCATCTCGGGGGGAAAAAACAAAAAAAAAAATTATTTCAAATTCTTAGTGGGGATAAAGCTACTATTCTGAAGCAAAGGAAGGCAAACATCCTTTCTCTT